TATCCCAGAGTAGGAGGTAAAAAAAAATTGAATACACTGACATCTATATACTTAGAAATAATTTATATAATTTTAAAAACGATCTAATGGGAAGAAAAATAAAAGTAAAAGTACATCAACATGCAATCCTGTTTTCTCACATTGCACAACTTTTCTTTCTACTGTGATGCATCCTTTCAATTACATTTAGGTATATTTTCTCAAATTGCATGGTAATTGCACTAACTAATGATCATTAGTATTTATTAAATTATATAATTGTATTTTTTTTAACACAGAAATGAGTGTTATAATCTTGTAAGTAGAGTTGACAAATCAAAATAATTATTAACAAGCTATATAGACTATAGTATTGGGGATCTCTAATGTTTTTTTTAGTTAGGGGGCCAACTTTTTTTGTAAGATTTTGGGTTTGGTGGTATGAATTAGTGGATTATTATAGTGATAGTCATGAGTGGGTTCAAATCTAGAAAAAAAAAGTCATTTTTTTTTTAATTTGACAAAAAGATGCCACAAAACTTATTTGATCACTTAAGGCTTTCAAATGTAATGGCCGATCCTGAACACCCATTTTTTTTATTTTAATTTTCAAATAGAAATTTAGTCGATTAACTTTCACAATATGGTTATCAACGTAATTAATTTGACTCTTGCATATACACTATCTAAAATCGTAAATTATAAAAAAAAAACACTCACATAATAGTTCAATAATATGAGAAACTATGATATCATTTTTTAATCTCATTTTTTTGGACAAAAATAAGATGGATTTTATGTGTAAAGAACAATTGTACTTTGGAAAGAGTTTTATCCAATCATTAAAAAAAAATTATGTCGAATCCATTATTATTGATGTATTCTGAAAGCATATATTCTTGGAAAGAGGAAAATAAAAGAGATGTCTTCAAAGATTGGATATATCAGATATTTATAATTTATAAATGGAATGGCATATACATTTTAAAAATAATATGATCTCCAAATGCTGAAATTTAAAAGGAGAATGTGTATAATGGTTCTAAATAAAGGAGACCACATTGCTTCTTTGTGTTATGCTTTTTCCCATCTTTTATTCTTTTGTTCTTTTGTGGGGTTAACTCCACCACTACTAGATCTTTCTCTCTCTC